GATTCCGATAATACGAAGCAAAATTCGTCGGAATCCTGTTGTCTGATTGGTTGCAGAGCATCGTACGACGAAAATCGGATGCAGTGTGAATCCAGCATATGGTTGAATTTTAGGGTGCTATTATATGAGCGCGAAAACGCGGAAATGCGGAAACGCGTAACCAATCAGAAGCAATCCGCTGTTATGGTTTCGCGTTTCCGTATTTCCGTGTTTTCGCTCATGTAATTACTCATGTATTACTCATGTAATAGCACCCTTTACCGGCATCGGCATAAGTTAACGATTATGGCCATTATAAATCAGGCTTAATAGTATCTCGTTGGTAGGAGCTATGATAGGAGCATGTTGGAGCATGTTGGAGCTTGCGACAAACCTTCCGTAAAGAGGCTGGAAAGGTAGCGTACTGTATAATCAGCAGGACATCTGGGATGTTCTGAGAGCAAGCGTAGTTGACAAGAGGCACAATTGATGGTACCGCCGTTGCCGGATGTGTATCGCTTAAAAGACTGTCTGCGCCAGTCTACATAAATTCTTTTCGATTTCATTATCATTATTACTGACATAAGAATTTAATTATATCCACGTTTTTACATGGATCGCAATTCAATCAAATTCGCAGTTCCCCGGTCACGAAGGTAATATCGGCGCGTATACAAAGCATGATACAGGCGACGGCGGTATCACGAAAAATAAATCTGATAAAAATGACGTGGTGAGAAGATACGCTTATCACTTGACGGGAGCGTCGAAGGAATTACAAGGTAAATGCACTTTCAGCGCACTCCGAATTATTCCATGCGCTATCGATCCGAGATTTTATCGCATGAATGTACAGTAAGATCCCGGAAGTAGACCGACAATTTTCCTCGTCCCCAACCGTACCCGAGCCAGGCTTTTCTTGCCTGTAATCCGATACGGTTCCCGGAAAAGTTGTGCGTAACGTACAAACATTGTCGAAGAACGGAAAAAAAACCTTCAACGTCAGGGCTGCGCTTCAACGTGGATTATCGTCGTTCTAGATTCGTACATATCCGAAAAAAAATTATTTTTGTTATCTTTAAATTTGCGTATACCATCCTATGCATATACCCTCTTGGTACAGAGTCGATTATTTCGATTCCGCGAATATTCCGACTTTAATGTTATGCAACAGAATGTACTCGAGTCTGGATAATTTTGCGCCTAATGCGTTGTATTGTTGTGGTGTGGCATAAAATAGAAGTAGGATGGAGGAGAGCACAAACTCAGAAAATGTCTGGCACAAGGGCAAATCTGAAGAGCAAAGCGAGCTGTTTCAAGGAGAGTCCACAGCCGCATCTGTAGAAGCTAACTCTACGTCGTTGGCTGATATATTTGATACGGCATTCACATCGACAGTTGATCCATCTCCGCAACCTCGGTTTCCTTCAGGTACACACAAGGAACTTGACAGTTTCTTCATCAATCTGTACATAAATTATTTTTCATGTACAGATTTCTTGTCAAGACATAATACAATATGAATGGAACATATCTCACTTCCAGGTAATGAAATGGAGTATGAGCATTTATTTGCGGAAAGCGATATTGAAGAATCAGACGTAACAGCTATAGGTCCTTATACAAATTCAACTCATCCTACTGCTTCCGAAAATAATTTTGTTTATGGAAATTATTTAACACAACAAGATGCAACTGGTGATTCACAGGAATATTGGCAATCTGATCTCTTGAATTGCAACATGTGCCAAAATAGACAAGAAAGAAATTCTAAAAAAGATCCTCCGACTCGACAATTGAATAATTCGTGCGAGGAGAGAGTGTGTGATAATTATAGAAGAAAAAGAATTTTGCACGATCGTGATTTGACGGTCAAGCATAAAACTAAAAAGAGCGACGAGCAAAAATTATTGAGTGGTCAACAGCCGGATAGTTTGAATATAGCAGGACCATCTAGATTGTCGGATCATCCTATTTCAAACAAGTATTTATTTGATTTATTAATATTTATCTATCTCTCTGTTATTTATTACATAATATATTATAAATAAATTATTACTTTACAGTATAACAAGATCAACAGAAAATACAGATGTTTTACAAAATTTAGGAAGTAATAATGCCAATGAGTCTAATAGTTTGTATCATTCAGTTATATCAAATGTGATAACTCCTCAAGAAATACGTTCATCTCGTACGTTTTCATAGCATTTGTAATATATTAAAACTTATATAAATATATATATAAATGATTATTAATTTGTCAATATTGTAACTAATAGAAAGTGACGATGCACCATCGGCACCAGATTTACAGCTAGATTGGTCCTCCAGTAGTGATAGTGATGATGAAGATGGCTCAGTTGAAGTACTTGGAACTGTCAACCATAATACCAAGGTATGTGAATATTTTTAAATATAAAAATAATAAAAAAATTAATGTGCTAGCAATATATGATTAGTTAGGTAGGACTATACTTAATCTTTTTGGTATGAAAAATGATCATAGAGAAAGAGAGATTCTCTGTATGTTTGTTGTAAAAAAATCTGTAGTTGTAGCTTTTATTTATAAAGATTACTTCAGTTAAAATAGTGTTATTACTGCTATCTCTATCAGCTATATAATATATCAAAGATATTGGCTGCTATTAAAAAAATCTTTATATTATTGTATAATTCTTCTATATTGAAAACATTAATAGTACACAAGCAATATTGTGAAATATGGTCACAACGACGAAAGATACAAAAGTGAGAAAAAATAAAATAAGATATTGCTGAAAAATTATTAGCGTAGATATTATGAAAACTTTATTTAAAAGAATATATTTTCTATAATATAGAACCCATTAGAAAATACAAGTGAAGATAATCGCACAGTCACCGTAGTTGACTTAACTGTAGAATCTGATGAAGAACATACATCATCTACGCCAACAAATCCTGTAGTTAATCCATGGTCAACAGATTTTAGTCATAGGTAAGCATTACACATTCTTAAATACAATTGTCTTTATCTCATATTACAATTATTTTTTAATTTTTATTACATTATTCATATTATAAAATCTTGTTTAGAAATAATACCCACTGTATGCATGGATCACCAGACTATTGGAATCATTTGTATAACATGCATAATAGAGGCACGTATCACAATCACAGATTGCCTGTTCATACAAATTATTCATCTATAGGAGGTATGTCTTTTCTATATTTAGAAATTTGTTTATCAATTAAAAAATAGCATAATTAGAATATAAAGTTTATTATAATATATTATAAAATTATGGGGAAACAAAAATAAACTTTATTATTATTATAAACAGATGCAGCTACAGAAGTAGTACAAGTAAGACCACGAATGCATCCTATGCAAGAAAGATTATGGATGAATCAACAACGTATGCAAGAAGTACATAGACGAAGACTTTACCACAGATCTTCGTCACATCACACGTTAGTACATTAATATATTTACATAATATTTTTTATTATAAGCAAAAATGCACTTTGATTTACTAAATTGAACTTTATTAATATATAGTGCGGGACCATGTAATGCTCATGTGCATTCATCGACTCAACATACTTGTGGAGAGGGAGGAAACAGTAGTCCCCCGAATACTCGGTGCAGTAATGGAACGGATACCGCAGCGTATACAGAAAATTATCTCCCACCTCCTATTTTACCACCACCGCAGCAACCGACTGTTTACAGTCATCCTGAAGCTCGAGGGCCATCTAGTTTCTATAGGGGACCATGTCCTGTGCTGCCTATAATCGTAATCTAACAACTTAATATATCTCAATACCATATTTTAAATTATTTTCTTATTACATAATTTTCTTATTATTGTATGTATCCACAGGTAAATCCATTGAATAATCAGCCAGTTGACTCAATGTCTTCGCTAATGTTACCGTCGATGCATCAACCAATACATCAACATGTACATCATCATATGTATCATTATGATCCACATCAACGGCCGTCGCAACGCATGCATCACGTTCACATTAGTTTCCATCCCCATATGGTTTGTTTTTTCTTTATATCAGAGCTGGGATTTAGTTGCACATTTCGGCCGATATTCAGCTTGGTTCTTACCTCTTACTTTACTAAATGCCGATCGGCATTTAGGCTGCGCGCGGATTAGTGAAGTAAGGGGCAGGAACCAAGCTGAATATCGGCCGAAATGTGCAACTAAATCCCAGCTCTGCTTTATATTGTTAAGTATATTACACTGACTTTTCAAACATATTGTTTCATATTATTTTAACACATATAGCAAGGATCTGGAGCACACCAGATAGGTTTGCCGTTTGCACCGGGTATGTCAGAATTTGTATTGCAAGGAGCACGTCATATGTCACGACTGGACAATTATATGCGCATTGTTGATTTGCGACGTATGGCTCATATAAGTTGTGGGGCTACACAAGAATCCATTGAAAGCCATACATTCCCTCACAAATATAAACGGGTAAGGATTGAAATTTTAAAACCTTTTGATATCGTTATATTTGCATTATTTAAACAGTTTATTACCATACATTATGTATCTATTTATAGGTAAAAAAAGTAGAAAATGGCGAAGATGCTATTGAGAAATGTACAATATGTTTATCTGAATTTGAAGATTGCGAACGTGTCAGGTAAGAATTTTAGTTCTAACTTTTTTGTATTTTTTCTATTTTTCTAGATAAGGCATTATAAATTATAATCTATTTTGTATTTTTTTTATTCAGGAGGCTTCCATGTATGCATTTATTTCATATTGACTGTGTTGATCGATGGTTATGCACCAATAAACGTTGTCCTATATGTCGAGTGGATATCGAAACATTTCTCCATAAAGAATTTACTACTTCGGAACAATAGTTTAAGGTTTCCCATATCTGCCTCTTTTTGAAATGTAATCAGGTAACATATGTATATGATATCAAATATTTCAAGATGGTCCATCCAGGAAAAATATACTGGGTTACCACTACTATTACGGAATAATAGTGTAAAAATGATATGGATAATCAAAATAACAAAGCATCAGCTGAGTTCCTCAAGAAGACGAGAAGAATTATCATTGTTCAATTTTAATACTTCTAACTGTGGTTTATTTTATGCGTTTTGATAACGATAAATACTAAATTGTTTTATCAAACACTAATGGTTTATTAATATTTTATTTTTGTGTCTTTGTTTATAAATACATAAAACGAAATCTATATGAAAACATTCTATATTCTTTATATAATTTATGGAGATATATTACATATGTTAAATTATGTAATATTTTTAAAATATATACACAAAACAACTCAATTTAATTCTATATCGATATAACTTCTGGTATACAAGATAATATATACATATAAAAAATTATATATATTCAGTATATTTGAACTTATAAGAATGTATTGGAATTTCTATTGTAAATATTTCATTGACTGTATGTAAATTTTTGTAATGCTTGTATTAAAATTGTGATCTTAACAAAATTCTAGTATTTTACATGTTATACTAGCTATAATTCGAAGAGTAGTTTTGTTCTAATTTCGTCTTTTATATTAATATACATGTGTATATATATTAGGCCCTATTTTGATTGTGAATAATATTAATAATGATCTATATATTGGAAATATTAATTTGCATTGTTGCAGATTGCTATCGATTATTCTCCAAGTGAAAATACTATGCATTTTTTAAATTACTTTATATTATTATATCTATCATATATTATGTTATTTCTCTTTCTTTATAGACATTATTCTAATTGAACGTAGCGTCAATTAAAATAATACTGGAAATGATATGACAGGCTTAGGTTCAATTATGAATTTATACTGAATTATTTCGATTACTATTACCGATGCTAAGCCAAAGACTTAGCTTAAGTTATAAGCGTAAACGAATATCTATAGAATGATTAAGCAATTTTAAATTAAAGATAATCGCCATTGCACCTACGAAAACTATGAAAAAAAGTCACTGTATCGTCAGGCCTTACATATATTGTCACTCTTGTATATATGTTCTATTACATAATAGAATCAAAATAATACCGTTCTATAATTATAATGATCCGTGGTAAAGACTAGTTTTACCACATTAGTACCTTTATGCATACACACACATGGTATTCAAGTTAATACTGTGACATGAATAATTTTATTTTGTTAATGTACGATAAAAATATATAATATATAATAGAGGTACAACACATAAAAATAAACATATATCATACTTATAGAATTAACCGTTGCTGGTTTGATATTAAAAGAAATGAATTACGAAGAGGGAAGTATTATGTATTATTATCAAAGATTTTTATGAAGTCCAAGTTTGGTGAAGATCTACATTTCTCCTATAGATTATAAATTTTATCGTCTGAACGTATAATAACGATCTCGTATAATTATTTCATTATTGATGAACGATTGTTATCGCGGAAACATTTTTACACTGCCATATACCAATACTATCACGATTCAGTTATTATGGAACATAGGGGAGTGTCTCTTTAACGATCGTTTTGTTTTATACAACAAATTTTAATGGTTGTTTAATCGAGTATATTAGTAAAAGTTTTAACTATTAAATTAATATTTCGAAGGTGATATGTAATGCGTCCTGTTTCAAGGATCGTGAGAACAGAAAAAAAGATATATTTGCCATATACAATCAAGTAGTTAGATATAATTCGTCTCGACTTCTTATTTTGCGAAATAAGAGCAAATGGATATATACATATATGTACCTCTATATTAATTATAACTACAAGATGTATGTGTATATATATATATATATATTGGAAAATAATTTTATATACTTTCGTAAATAATAGGAATTTATACTGTATATATAATAAAATAGGAATGATAATGCAAAATATTAACTTACTGTTGCAACGCTAGAGTAAACGTTATACAAAATACATGACCCTTAAAAAATTATTGCTTTGTTTAATTAAAACCACTGAAAATTATTCGATTAGAGTGAATTAACTATTAAATAATACGAAAGAGACTCGTAATACGAAGTATACTTGAATAACGTATATAAAATGCTTCGTCGCAATTTGAGAACGAAAAGAGCGCGTTTCTATAGCAACGGCGAATGATGTGTAATAGATTGAATGTACTCCGCAAACACAATAGGTATAATAAGCCGTAATTGATGAAAACACAATGATTTCAATTAATATTTTCGTTTATAATGACTTACCGGATATGCATTTGTATTATTATTGTGTACATAAGATTATCGTGTACACTAAATGCGAGATCAGATCGATCACCGCTCTTTTATAACCGGTAAATCACCGGGTACGCGGAATCGTACATAGGTGATCACCAAAGATACGTGAAATCATTAAAACATGATTATGCGTCATATGGGTAATTCATGTGATACGAACAGCGTCTCGAGATCGTTTCCGAAGCGTAAAATCCCAGAAAAACAGGTTCGCACTGGCCGAATCTAACATTGAGAAAGTTATATCGTGGGGAAAGACTTATTTTCACGATAATCTACTAATGGCGATATGATTTCCCTTGATGATTCATGTTGAGTATCTGAAACGGGATTTGTTACAGATATTTAACCTTTGTGTTTGTAGATTCCTTTCTCTGATAAAAAAAAGAATGCAGTCGCCCTTCATTACGCTTCTGTATGACGATTCGTATAAATATGTATGTAGTTCAATTTCTGTTATATATAATAAATAAAATTATTTTACTTTACATAATATTATTTAAGTGCAAACATAAAACGAGAAATATTTTTCTTCTGGTTAATAAAAAAGATATGTTCAAGAATATTTAAAATTCAATATCACTAATTGTAAGTATCATTCGTCCTTTATAAATCATATGGCTATATTCCGATGTATGCTGTTTACTACTCATATAATTTTGCGCAACATAACGTAAAAAATAATCTAATTCTGTGTGTAATCCTTACATTATCTATTAATTGTGATTTTACGTTACAATTAATGAATTATTATGACTTAATATTAATTTTAACAATTAGTAATTGATATTGGTGATTATATATAGGATACGATTAGATCTAATACGATAGAAGAAAATAGATACGGTTAAATGAAATTTAAAAAATATATTTTATTTTGCGATATTTTTACAATAATTACTGAGAAATTAATAAAAATCAACGAATGAGCATCTATTCGCGCGATTCTGCAAATATAAGCAGAGATAATCCGACGTCATATGATGATTACGATTGATTACGATTGTGATGAAACATTGGGAGTTCCAATGCTTCGTCGCAATTTGGGACTGGAAACTGGAAGGAGCGCGTTTCTATAGCAACGGTGATACGTAATGGATGGAACGTTTACTCCGCAAACACAATAGGTGTAGTAAGCCGTAATAGGTAAAAACACAATGTGATTTCAAATAATAAAAATAAATAAAGGACTCCCAGAATAATAAACAATAAATAACACAATTAAGGGCGATAGGATTCAGCGCGGGAGACGGTGCGCAAATCAACACAAAGTCGATTTTAAATAAATCAATATAATGTCATATAAATTGAACGTTTCGATTCTGGATTTGAGCCCTGGATCTTCAGCAAAGAGTATAATCAATTATAAAATAAATGATGATCAAAATAAAATAGCCGCATAAATACATGATAAGTCAAGGGATGAACATAACAATTTAAAGAATATACAGAAGATCGTAAAAAAATCGCATTAGTATTATCAAATTAGATAGTGATATTAACAATTGTTAACAAAAAAATTAAAAAAAAATTTTTTTTTCTTCACAATATTGAAGTATCCTTGAAACCGTACAACTTTTGTTTAAAAAATTTTTTTCCATCTCTTATATTTCCAACAATATTCGGCTCGAAATAGAAATACCATTTTTTTCAAAGAAGTGTTTCATCCCTTAACATGAGTTAGCGCACGTATAAAAAAATACGTGTCTCTTAGATTTTTGTGCTTAACAACATATTTCACGGAGAATCAAATCGGTGCCGGACAGTTGGGTGACGTCCCTTGTAAGTTAGTTATTAAATTATTTATAGAGTAATAACTGCTGGAGCTAATTAATAATTTTATTTTTATCCTAGCGTATAGCAATTTATATCCACGATGCATTTTTATCTTTTTCAAATAAATGTTTCTTAATTATTTATACAAGTTTTTTTTTTACATTAATCGATTAATTTTTCTAGTTTTGTGTATTAATACATTATCAGATGGAAGCCTATTATAATTAATAATTATTTTCTTACTATCACCTATTCATTGAAGACTCATTACCTATTAATGAAGATTTTATTATTCGTATCATTCTGTTATTTATTAGGAATTCGATATGAAGTGAATTACTCGTATCTACTATATTCTTCTATACAAAAGATGTGACGCATCAATTGCTTTTTTTACTATCAGTATAATCATCAAATATGGTATACATTTCAATTCTGTAATTCTTTTTAGCTTAATCACATTTTTTCTACAAAAAAGTTTTTTAAATATTTAAATGCCAAATTTATTTGAGATGTGTGCGTGCATGCGTGCGTGCGTGCGTGCGTGTGTGTGTGTGTGTGGTGTGTGTGTGTATTATAGTCACTCTGATAATTACAATGAAAAATATGTTTAAATAGTTACGTCATACTTCTTCAAAATAACGTCTATGTGTAAGCAAAAAGAATTTCTACAGGATTTTTTGCTGCAATTCTTTCCGTGAACTTTAATTAGTAAAACATACAAATTTACAATTAGGAAACTAAATTGAATTTACAAGTATTGCGATGTAGCATAAAAATTTTTATTTATTTAATCAATTAATTTTTATTTATTTTTTAATTTATTTCTTTTAATAAAACCGACTTCATTGCTCAAAAAAATTATTAACAAAATCTAAGTTTTAATATCGCATCATTAATAAAGTCGACTTCAAGAGAAATAAATAAAAAAGTTTATAATAACTTGTTTCATAATTTTATTAAGATATTTTTTGTATTAAATCCCTTATTTCTTTATATAATTGAAGTAATTTTTATCTACTATCTATATACTTAAAGTATAAGTAATTCTTATTTCTTATAGAAGTATATATTCTTTTAATTTGCCATTATACTTATAATGTTTAAAAGCTATT